GCCTGCACCTGTCGGGGCGCGAGGCGCCGGCGGTCTCTCCCGCACGCACACGCCGCTCCGCCGCCCCTTCTCGGGGGCTGGGCCGACGCCCCCTGCCCCGCGTGCGCGCCAGACCCGGTGCCCAGAGCGGCCTCTGGTGTTCCCGGCGCGCGGCGCGGGAGAGCGCTCCGCCCCGGACTGCGGCCGCCGCGGGGGCTCGTACCGGGAGGCGGGAGTGCGCAGCTGGCCGGTCCCCACCCCGGGACCCTCGCCACCAACAGGGTCCTGTTTACATATCCACAAATTGCTACAGAATCCTGGAGTGTCACTGGCTCTAAAGTGCTGCCTGCGGGCACCACCTCATTAGCTCCCACCCCTTAATCACCGTGATCCCCCGAGAGGGGTGGGCGGGGGGAGGGGTTGCTAAAGTCTTACCTCCCTCCGCCAGGGCTCTACGCGTCCCCTTAAGCCCGGAGGACGACCCGAGGCAGCTGAGAGACACTCTCCCCCTCCCCCGCACTCTTGGCATTTTCCCTTCTGCCACCGGCAGGCGTTGAGAGTGAGGACTCTTGGCCTGCCTTGGAGAAGCGCTGGGCCCCCGAGCCTCGGCTTGGGAGGTGCTTCTCTGGGCGGGGAGGCGGGGGTGTGGGTGATCGGTGCCACGCAGAAGGTTGGGTACCTGGGGAATGGGAGCTTCTGGCGTCGTGGATCAGAACCCAAGGAGGTCGGGGGTCTGCCCTCCCAGACCCCTGGGAAAAGAGTTCGCCTGCTCGGTGCTGCCTCTCTGCTCGGTGTCTGGTGTCCGAGCACAGTCCGCAACGGGTGCAGCTCTCGCTCCCCGCTGGCTCTGGCCACCCGCGATCTTTTTCCAAGATAGGCCTCCCTCAACCGGCTCGGGTCGGAAGGCCCACATTCCGGCCACGGTGATTAAGGGGTGGGAGCTAATGAGGTGGTGCCCGCAGGCAGCACTTTAGAGCCAGTGACACTCCAGGATTCTGTAGCAATTTGTGGATATGTAAACCATGTTCCTGAAACAGCCACCACATCATCCCTTGCTTCTGCCGACTTTCCCAAAATCTCACACACTGATGGTAGTTGGGAAATTACAGCTTTTACTGTGTCGACTTTTACTGGGAGTGATTTTAACAAATTCTTTCAGGATAGATTAGCTTTTAGTTGATAAACCAAGCTCAGAGCCTTTTTTTTAAATTTGTAAAATTGAGATGACAGCTTTGCACAGAATAAGTTCAAGAATTTGACTAGCACAAGTTCATTCCTGCTACAGCTTGTACTTTAGGGCTCCAAAGTCTTAGTAAGTCATCTTCCACGTTCCCAAGGTCCTATGTCTGTCCTATAAGGTTTGAATATTTGTTCCATTTTTTTCTCAGTAAATTTTCTAAATCTTTTTTAATAACCATCAAATCAAAGCTCAAAAATGTGTTGACCATGCATGTGTTTTAACCACCATAAGGTGTGTGTGTGTGTGTGTGTGTGTGTGTAAAATCTGTTTTTCTGTGGGAACACAATCCATTTGTATAGGAGGTGTCAGAACTGAAAGGAACACCCAAGTTTATCTGGTCCAAACCTCGGATCTATTCCTGAGTCCCCTCTGACATTTCTAATAAGTGGTCATCCAGCCTTGTTGAATACTTCTTGAGGAAGCCTGTTGACAGCAGCTCTCTTAGAAAAGACTTCCTTCTATTGAACTGAATTCTATCTCTCTGAAACTTTTACTCACTGATTGTGGCTCTCCCCACTGGACCCACACAGATAAGTCAAACTCCTTTTCCTTAACCTAGCATTTCATTCCTTTGGAGAAGGCTTCCTTCGTGTTCCCTTGAATCTTTCCTTTTCTGGGTTAAGCATAGCCACTTCCTTCGGTGTGACAATCCCCAGACTCTTTACCAGCTGATAGATTTTCTCTGGATGTGACCCAGTCCCAATGGCCACCTACACCCAATAATCAAAATGTGTTTCCAGAAAGGGGCCCTGTTTTCCCTCTGCGGGTTCTGATCAGTGCAGGACAGTACTGGCACTTCCTGTATTTTAAATACTTTGCTTCTATTAATGCAACTGAATTGGGGGCAACTGCAGCATACCATTTTGTTCGTTTTCTACATCATCTCATGTATTATTTTTGTAGGGCTGCCATAACAAAATACCACAGACGGGGTGGCTTAAACAACAGATTTATTTTCTCACAGTTCTAGCAGCTAGAGGTCCAAGATCAAGATGTTGGCAAGGTTGTTTCCTTCAGAGTCCTCTCTCCTTTGCTTGTAGATGTTTGTCTTCTCCCTGTGTGATCACATGGTCTTTCTTCTGTTGTGTCTGGGTCCCAGTGTTCTCTTTTTATAAGGACACCAGTTGTGTTGAATTAGGGACCACTCTAACCACCTCACTTTAACTTATTTGCCTCCTTAAGGACTCTGCCTCCGAATATAGTCACATTTTGAAGTACTTGGGACTAAGACTTTCATGTGTGAAAGGGGGCCACAATTCAGCCCATGACATCTCACAGCAAAAGAGCTCGTGTTATATTCATCTTACAGGTGAGGATGATGAAGACAAAGGAGGTCAATCCATTCACTCCAGCCCACCCAAGCTAATAAGTGCCTCAGCCTTGAATCTTAAGACAATTTAACTTGACCCTAATAGTTTTTGCACCATTTCACAGCTATTTCTATGAATACCTTCCACCACAAGCCATCTACAAACTAAGTCATGCTAAATCTATTTTGATATATATTTTTCTCAAGAAAAGGAAGGGAATGAGAGTAGATGGAATGCTGAAGAAAATGTGGCTTACTTCCTACTAAGTGGGGATGAAGAGGGTTACTTTATCTCTCTTCCATTCTCTATTTCAAAACCCATACCACTGGGGAGAGTGCCAGGGGACTTTTGGGGGAAGATTGGAGTCTCAGCCTCTCATTTGACTTCACACCTTCTCTCCACACTCCATGCATGAAGTTCCTTGCTATTTTCTCTCCTCAACTCCATCTTTCTCTCTGACCTCCCCCACCCCACTGCCCTAGAATTACTTTTCAAAACTTACTGAAACTCTTTCTCGTAGTACAGACTATGATTTCATTTTTGGTGATTTCATTTTTAGTTCATTCCATATATATTCACTGAATACCTATTTGGAACTGGACACCATTCTAGGTGCTGGGAGTACAACAGTGAACAAAGACCAAAAAACCCTGCCTTTCAAGAATTTACATTCTAGTTAAGGAAGACAGACAATACATAAAAGAAGGAAAACATTTCATCAGATGGTGTTATTAAATGCTAGGCATAATAATAAACTGGAGAAGGGGTAGAGGTAATATGTACTTTAGAGTATAGGCTAAGTTGTTGTAACAAAGTGTTCCAAATATACAATAACTTAAAACAGAAGTTTATTTTTCATACATGTAAATGTCTTACCATTCTAGATGGTGGGGCATCTCTGTTCCACAGAGTCATTCCGGGACCCTGGTTCCTTCTGTTTCATTACTCTGCCATCCCCTGATATATAGCCTTCATTTGTGCAGTTGAAGCTGGATCAATAGCATGTCTGAAATACAGCCTGAAGGAAAGTAAAAAAAGAAGAAGAAGAAAGTCTAAGACAAACAATTTTCTTTCAGACAAGTGAAGGAGAGGTTACATAAATTAGTTCTCTCACAAATCATTAATGAGAGCCTAGTCACATGGTTATACCTAGCTGCAAGGGAAATTGGGAAGAGTAGTCTTTATTAGACAGCAAAATGACCAGAAAGAAGAAAATGAGTTGGAGGGGTAGGGGAAACTAACAATCTATCATACCTTCTGTGCAAGGGTAGAGGTGGTGACTTTTACTAAAGTGGACAGCAAAACTCTCACTGAGAAGGTGACATTTAAGTAAAAAACCTCAAGAAGGGGAAGGAATGAGCCAGGCAGTTGTCTGAGGGAAAAGCATTTCCAGGAAGAGGGAAGAACAAATGCAAAACGCCTGAGAGAGAACATGCTGTCATTCAGGAAACAAGAAGAACTCCAGTGAGGCTGGAGTGGAGTAAGTGGTGGGGAGAACCAGGAAGGCTGAGGTGGGAGTGACCACCCCAGTGACCGCTGCAGGTGGAGTGGCTACCATGAACCTTAGAGGCCTTGGCAATGATCTGGCTTTTACTCAGAGTGTGAAGAGAAGCCTTTGGAGGTTTGTGAGCAGAGAAGGGATATGACGGGACTTGAACAGGAAGCCACTGAAAGGATATGTGTCCAGCATCGCACCAACCACCTCCCCCACTGTGTGCCCCATGACTCTCCCTGCCTCTCTCCTGAGCACCTCTCAGCTCTTGTGCCCCTGAAGCCCTAGAGTGCCAGTTTTGATGGTACACGGCTTCACAATCCGCCTCAAACCTCAGTACCTCAACATCACCTCCCACACCCCACATCTGTTCGTTCATCCCTTCATGGTCACATGTAGCACAGACTGTTACAGTGAGCTGCTGGCCTGCTCATGCCTCACAATAGAGGACAAGTGTGTGTTTACTCGGGACAGTGTGCATCTATTGGTCCACCTATGGCTGAGCACAAAGCCTAAGACACAGTAGAGCAGTCAATAATTATTTTTCTTAATTCATCGGTATTCAAAAAAAAGGAAACCATTCCCCACCAATCTCTTCCTGACATTGAAAACTGAAGACAAGAGCCCATTGTTTTTCTTTCTTCTCTTCTGGTTTTTCTCAATCCTGCACATCCATGAATATATATGATCAACCATAGACCATTTAATGAGCCCAGAACATATCAGAACATGGCCTGGCACTGCCCTCGATGGTGCTTGAATGCAAATCAAAGCATTGGATCCAACCACTACCTCTGCTTGGAGGTATTACACATTCAGCAAGGGACAAGCTTCAGGGGCTAGAGTGTAGCACAGGGTAAATGTGCTCATTCAGTCACACTCCCATCCAATCTTCCATCCACTCAAAGTGCACTTGCTGGGTACCTGGTACGTTTCAGACATCATGTTAGGCGTGGAGTATACAAAAACAAAGATATAATCTTTATCTTCGACAAGTTTATAAACTATGGGGAGAGTTGAAAGATAAAACTGCAATTACAGTGTCAGGGGGTAATGGCTATGATTGGAAAGCACAGAGGAGGAGGTGCCCAGGACGAAGTCCTGTAGGTGACCTCATGTGTCATTGAGTAGAAGTGTGTGTGTATGTGTGTGTGTGTGTTTAAGGAGGATAAAGAGGAAGAGAGGCACAGTGAGTTTCCCAGGCAAAGGGAACAGCCTGTACAAAGACCAGGAGGGAAGGGTTGGGGACAGAAACCAAGGATAGAATTTAGAATGTAAGTTGGGGAATGCCAAGAGAGAAAACTTCTGAGACACTCCTGGGCCATGTTAAGAAGGGCTTGGGAAGCTATGCATAAAAGTTTGGCTTATGTCTGAAGACAAAAGGAGAAGACCACGGAGGATTGGGAAGAAATTGGGGAGGGGAGCCAGGAAGGGATATTCACCATTGGCCCATAGAGGCACGAAAAGAGCTTGACATCATTAATTAATTGGAGAGTGCCAATTAAAACAAGAGGCACCCTTTTCACTCCTCTGGCAGACTACAAACACTATCCGTTTGAGCATATAAGTGCTTGGTGATGATTCAGAGAAAAGAGAATTTCCATATTCTGCTGGTAGTTGTATAAATTGGTGTGTATTAACCATGTCTTTTATTTTCCATATTCTGAGGATTTGACATCTGGGACCTTGGCGACCTGGAGGGACTGTCCTCCCCAAAACTAGCCAATTCCTAGAAATGACAAACCAGAGTCCACACACCCTACCACCTCCTCTGTGAGCTTTTTCACACTTGGAGCCACTATTGTCCTGACCTAATCACTCCTGGACCAGGTACCAGACAACTAGATACAGCCCCTATGCCCCAGAGCCTGCTGAAATTATCAAACTAGCGAATCTTAGATCTATTTACCTTGCCTCATCCATTCCTTTCCATGGAAACTACAATAAAGGCTCTTACCCACGCTCCCCACCCCGTCTTTACTCCCTCTGCCTCCAAACCAACCTGGTATTTCCCTATGTAGCCCTGCATGGTGTGCCACACCTCCTATGTCTAGACATATTTTAGTATAAAAATACTTCTTTCCTTCATGACAGTCATTTATATGTCTAAGAAATACGTTACCCCTAGAGAAGAAGGTAAATCCACTTTGAAATTGCACTGCTTAGACTCTATCCCTAAAGAAACCCTGGCACATTCGCCTCAGACACTTCATCCACTAAACAAAGATGATGCTAATACTTACTTCACACAACTGTTGAGGGGATTAAATGGAATTATGCCTTAAAAGCACCTGAAGAGTACCCAGGACATAGTAAGTGCTCAGGAAAATAGATCCAAAGATGTTCGCTGCAGATATTTTTATAACAGTGAGAAATTGGAAACAACCTGAATAACGGAATGACTAAATAAATTGTGTTCTAGTCACACTAAGGAACACAATGTAGCCATTAGAAATAAATTAGATTTCCATGTAGGAACATGGAGAGTTCTGTGAAACAGTGTTGCTGAGTGAAAGAAGGAAATTATGGAACAAAATGTACAGCAAGATGTGATTTATGAAAAGACAACAGCATAGATTTTCTATGGATTTATAGGAACACACACCAAAAAAGATCTGAAATGATTCACAGCAGTGGGGTTATAGCTAGGTTAGCGAGAACAGATGGAATTATTCAGGAGAGGTGGTCAAATTACTTTAATTTTATTTCTGTGATTTTTATTTTATTATTTTTGGGAGGAATTAGGAGGCTATTATGCAATACTTAGGTAATTCAAGATTAATTTGAAATGTACAAGAAAAAGTGAGAGAGAGAAAAGATAAACATAGAAGGGGGGAAGATGGGAATGAACGTGGCACTCAATGAGATGGAGTTAACTTTGAAAATACCATAAACCAATGGCATATTTTTGAAAATCGAGATGATAAATATCTGTCTCATAAGGAGTCCTTTGACTGAAGGCTTTCTCTTGGAAGAGGAGGGAAGGGATGCCCAATAAGATGAACTGCTAAACTAGTTTTCCACTTTGGTAAAGGTCAACCTTGAGCTCTTCTCCAGAGCTTCCTTTCCTAATAGGGGCAGGGATAAATAGCTCCCTCTGTTTCTCTGTGAAGCTTCCTCATCCCACACAATATCCTGAGCAGTGAGTTAATTATTTTCCATAATAATTAGGGAAGGTTAAACTGCCATAACAGATAAGGCAGAACATGTAATGAATCCAACATAATTTTCTTTCTCTCTCATAGGACAGAACATGGTGATGGTGGTGGGGCATGGATGGGAGAATTGAGGATGAGTGGAGTGACTGTTCAGAAACCCAGGCAGAAGACAACTTTGTTGTCTTTAACACATGGTTTCCAAGAGTTTCTGGTGTTTGCCACTTCAGCTGTTTTATAAGATTTAAAGATGGTGGGGCAGGTCACAATGACATTCAGATAGACGAAAGACAGAATTATTTGTAATTTATAGCTCCAAATGAGAAAAGTCTGCCGGACGGAACCATACAGGGGATCATACCTGGGGACAGAGTAACAGCAAGCCAGCTGTATGGGGCAGTTTGTGTATGGTAAATGGGGTAGGGTTAGCTAAGTTTTGTGGGCTCCCTATAAGTTGGCTGATTTGAATAATTTCAGAGGGCTGTGGTGGGAAGGGCTATCCCTAGCTGTCTGATACCTGCCTTGGGGCAACTAGGACAGTGAGATCCCAAAAAAGAAGTGGTTGGGGATGTGGATTTAATTGCTGCTTTAAAAAGGGGGAACTGATCAGCCTTAAGCTAGGGCCTCAAAACTGGGTCAAGACAGTATTATTTATAGATGGATAGACAGATATAGCTATGGGGTTGTTGTTTTTTTTTTTTACTTTATTTTGCTTCTTTTCATCAGCCCATAGTGAAGGAAGATAAGGTAAGTATGGGCCAGGACTCAAAATGGCCCACATCCATTCTGCCCTCGTTCCATTGACCACAGAGAGATCACATGACCAGCTACTCCCATAGTCTCAAATTGAAGCAAAGAGAGCTGGGAAATGTAGTCACAAGGAGTAAAGGGAAGCTCAGATTTCAATGGGCAACTAACAGACCCTGCCAAAGGGTTGTAAATTAATCTGCACTTACATATGTCCTTGTTTTTTTTTTTTTCTTTTCTGCTTTGTTCATATTTGTTTCACCTGCTTATATGGCAAACTCCTTAGGACAAGGATCATGATGGTCTCTTGCTTTTGATACTTTCCCCAGCAATTAATTCTGTGTCTAGTGGGGTTCTTAATAGATAGGCTTCTCACTAAAACAAGCCCCAAGTAATTTCAGTATGCAAAGCTAGCTGCCACTTCAGTGTTGGTTGTAAAAATCTGAGACATACACTATCATTTCAGTTAGTTAAATTTACATCACTGAAGGGGAGGGAAAGAACAGCAACAGAAATATTCCCTGGGTCTTTCGCTTTTTTATGCCATTCTGAATTGGATAAAATATTTTCAATAACTTTAAGCTTTGGCCTTTATATAGCCAT